CGTAACCAGCATGTGCTGGCTCATGCCCACTCCCTCCACCTGGCATAAATCAAAACGCATATAACTTCATAAAAAGGTTCAAGAACCCTAAAATCAACCACATAAACAAAGTTTAAAGCCACAAAATCTCGCACCTGATATAACGGCAACCTTGTCATACTTGTCAGCCGTGACATCAGCTCGTATCACCACCTTAACCTCAGGAAATCCATCCAAATACTGCAGTCCAGGATAAGTTTCCACAAGTCCCTCGATGAACTCCGTCACAACATCTGCAAAACCAAAACCACTACTCGTATTACTGCGAACCGCAAGTTCAATTTCAACAAAACGTAACTTGATACCCTAAAATCAAGATCGATCCCGTCATCGGGTTGAACATGCAACTAAACAGCACAGTGACGAAGCAGCATTGCGACGATCGCGAACAAAATCGGGACTAAAGACGAATTTCATGAGCAATCAACACGCAAATGCAATTAATATCGCAAACAGTAACACAATCGGGGGTATAAGATAGGTCAACAGTTCGCGAGAGCATTCACAATCATCATCTCCGGAAAAAAAATGAACGAAAGAGCAAACAAACCAAAGAGTGAGAGAGAGAAGACGACGAGAACGAACCGTTGGGGTTGTTGATGAATTTCTTGGCCGCGTAAACCATTTTTGTGAGTATTGAGGCAATCAAAACCTGAGAATCGGAGAATCTCGCACGAAAGGGGTTGGGGAAGAGTGTAGGAGAAGGTTTAACGAGAGTCAACAACAGCAACGCTCGAGAGAGAGAGAGAGGAAGCAACAAGAAAGAAGCAGAGCGAATGAGAGAGCGTGAGAGAGTTTGTTCCGTACGAGATACCCCAATGTTGAAATAAATGGCACCCTTGCAGACGTGTAATGGGCCAGGCCCAATTTTTATCTGGATATGGATAAGATATTTTATCAGGAATCTGTAATTTACTTTATCCGCATAGATTAGTTACCTAATTGGCTGATAAGATTGTAAATGGTGATGCCACGTGATTCTTTGCGTTTTCGTGTGCCGCGCCCGCACCTGTGTCGTCTCGCTGCGTGTGTTGTATTTTTTTGGATTTTTAACATAAAAACCCCTCAACTAAGTTTGTTTTGGGTAAAAACCCCTAAACTAAGTATTTAATGAAAAACCCCCAAACGAACTTTATTTAGTGAATTAAACCCTCGTCGGTCATAATTACCAGTACTACCGGTAAATATTTAGTTTAGGGGTTTTATCATTAAACATAAAAATTAAAAAAAAAATAAAAAAAAAAGCAAAATATAATAACATTATCTAAAAATTCGTAATTTTAATTTTCAACTAGCAATTTAAAAATTTCTGTAAATATATGAATGATTTCTTATCCTTGTAAAATGGATTTTTAACTCTAAAATACGTTAACTAAGTTTGTTTTCGGTAAAAACCCCCAAACTAACAAGTAAACCCTCATATGAAACATAGTTGAAGGGTTTTTATCATTAAAAATCGGAAAAAATTATAAATTATCTAAAAATTAGTAACTTAAATTTTTAAAAATTAGCATTTTGCAAACTTTCTGTAAATATATGAGTTTGATTTGTTTTAACATCAATATTATATATATAGATTAAAATTTTAAAACACCAAAATATAATAAAAAGCATCTAAAGATTTATTATTACATTTTTATTAAATAAGATATAATTTTTACTCTGTTTTCTTGTTTTTATATTTATAAATTTTGATAATTTTTATTACAGGTAAATCGTTAGATATTTTTTCTTATATTTTATTGGTTTTTACATTTTAAATTTATACATATATAATTTTGATTTTAAGAGGATAACAAATCAAACTCATATAGTTACAAATTTTTTTTTTAAAATGCTAGTTTTTAAAATTAAATTACAAAATTTTAGATAATGTTATTATATTTTGAATTTTATTGATTTTTATGTTTAATGATAAAACCCCTAAACTGAATATTTACCGGTAGTACTGGTAATTATGACCGGTGAGGGTTTAATTCAATAAATAAAGTTATTTTAGGGGTTTTTTCATTAAATACTTAGTTTAGGGGTTTTTACCCAAAACAAACTTAGTTGAGGGGTTTTTTTGTTAAAAATCCTATTTTTTTTATGTTTTGTGAATGTATTTAATAATCTTATTATTGGAAATTATATTTTTGCATTTTAATATAGTTGTATTTATATATAATCTTGCGAGTTTATTTTGTTTCCTTAAAACATTTTTGTTGAATCCTGAAGTCAACATTATGATTAGCTAAATGTCTCCGATATTTCAATGGATTCGTCTTTCTATATTCATTTTGTAAAACTATTTCTAGTGTCTACTTTATACCAATCAAAGCTTATCCAAAACTAACTTTCCATGTCAGTTCATTCTTTGTGAATATCCATTTTCAGGTATTTTAATCTTATCTATATTTTTCTCTCTCTTTTTTTAAGCAATCTATATTTTAATCTTATCTATATTTGTCTCTATTCTTCAGATTACCATGTTTCTTAGCTCCTAAAATGACTAGTTTAAGTTCAGGCTGGTGCAGACAAAAAAAAAAAAAGAAGTTCAGGCTTAAGCCTCTACCTATTCTCAAATTGTATGACATAATTGTCTAACACTAGCATGTATGGTTACTTCTTTTTTAACCATTCGTTTTTAATAGAAATGTAATGGGAGAATTTCAATTATATCAATTTGGTGGTACCACTTTTCATGTTAATCATCAACAAATGAACATTTTCAAAAATACACATTTTATTAAAGGATAAAAAACTCTTATATCCTTGTTCTTTATATATACATAAAATAAATATTAAATAAAATATTAACCCTAAATCCTAAAACATCAATTATAAACTCTAGACCCTAAAAATAAACCCTGAACCCTAAAAATCAACCCTAAACCCTAAAATATCAATTCTAAACCTTAAACCTTAAACTCTAAACCCTAAAAAATCAACACTAAACCCTAAACTATCAATCCTAAACCCAAAACCCTAAATTATAATAGTATTTTGACTATTAAAATTTTAATGGTAAAGTTGGTTAGTGTAAAGTTGAAAAGTGGTATCTTAAAAGTGTTATTTCTGGAAATTTCCCAAATGTAATATAACAAAAAAAGAAAAAAAATTAGAAAGATTATGGGAATAAATCCAAAAGAAAAACTGAAACTTCGAGAAGCAAAAGTTTATACTTCAAAATAGATTAGCGAGTAGCTAGATCCGAGGTTCAAGAACTCGCTAGGCGCTAGTCGGGCGGTTGGGTTGGGCCTAGCGCCTAGGTAACAAATTGGGGATTAATCGAAAATAAATCAGAGATTAATTTTAAAATTTTAATTCTATGTATATTGGATATATATTAACATATGCCCAATATAACCAATGAATCGATTCCTCCTAGTGGTAGAGTCCCTTAGATGTGACGCTGGCCAACCCGACTTCGACAACCCCCAAGTGCATTAACTATTTTCGATTAATTTGTCTTATCTTAAGGGAAAACATCCCACATCGGTTGCACAAGAAAAAATAAACCAAAATCGTACTCTATATACATAATGTGTAATAGTAAGGTAAATGGGTTTATGTAAAGCCCATAGAATCCTACATAGTTAAAAATTTAAGGCATGTTATATTTATAATTGGGCCGATTTATTGGACTCCGATTATTTGACCGATTAGGACAAAGTTGCCGCCTAATCAAAGTCACCACGGGTAGACTCCGAATTGCGATTAGTCGGCCGGCTAGGTGGCCGCGTTTTTGAACAGAGGCTAGATCTGATGTTAGACTGATGTTGTAGAAGAAGAAGCTGGTTGTCCGTTTTGTCTTGAAGACTTGGTGAAAGTTATAAACCTAAACGTTAGGCTACGATGTTCCCGTTATAAGTTTCACCTTAAGGTCTAACTTGTTTCCCCGCCATCATCCGCAAATGCAGCTTTTGCGGTTGGTAAAGCTTGTTGGCGTTTTATAACAAGCATAAAAACGCTATAAACCTCTCAAAATCGTCCTTAATTTCTAAAATTTAAAGAGTATTTGCATCCCATATACAAACTAAACCCCTAAATTAACTATCTACCCTTTTACTCTCTTATCTCTCCTCCTCCCCTCTCACTATTTTTCCCCCAAAACCATGGCATATTCCTAATATCCAAGTTCTTTATGTATTTTAGGTCAATTCACCCAAATTTAAAAGCTTGTTACATCTAGCGTTTGCGGTTGCGGACGATTGCGGGAGGATAAATTTTTTTTTTTCCAAAAAACTATATAAATATAAAAATAAAATATTTAATTAAAATTTAAAATTAAAATAATTGAAATACCAAAATATATGTATCATATTTTAATTTATATCATACAATTTCCAACAAAAAATAATTTTGATATTTAAAAAAAAATTAATAGTACAGTTTTACCAATAAATTTTTTTTTGACAAACCAATAAAATTTTTATATTTGTTATAAAAATATGTTTTTAATATTTTTATAATTATATATAATATAAATATTGTTAATTTATTATTTAACCGCTGTTGTATTTGGTAGTTAACCAGTCATAAGTATCTCGCAAATGTAACAATTTTTAACCGTTAACCAGTCGTCTAAATTTCTACTAACGCTTAAAACTGTAATCTTCCCACATCCGAAAACATCCGCAACCGCAACCGCAATCGATGTGTTATAACTAGTCAGACCCTTAGTTACTCATCTGTGACTATGGTAAACCGGAAAATAGCTAAATCCAAACCGGTAAATTAATGGACAAAACGAACTGGACTGTCTAACCAGTCTAAACCGGAAGTTAAAAGCAATGAAATCAATAAATGGTGGGCTATTGGGCCAGAAAAAGGCCCATTGAGTATAAAATAAAAGGAAATAAAAGTCAAAGACCGTCCGGCACTCGCTTACGGCGTAGGTAACGTGTCCGTGGCGCGCAGAATCATTAAATAAGAGGCCAGAGAGAGAGAGAGAGAGATCTAGAAGAAGAACAACAAAAATGGCATTGCAATGGCTTATTCTGTCGTACGTGGTTGCTGCCGAGGTCGTGATCGCAGTCTTATTGACTCTACCTTACCCGATGCTCGTGAAGAAACGCATCGTATCACTTGTCTCGCTCATACTCCAGCCTGCCGCCTCCATCGTCGCCTTCGCTGGATTTCAACTCCTCGGTGACCGCCTCTTCTCTGTCAATTCATTTATAGTTAGGGTTTTTAGCCGAGAGTGATTTTTGGTACTTTGGATTAATATGAATTTTTGGTACTTTGGATTAATATGAATTTTTGGTACTTTGTTTTCAGATCTTTACTGGAAGAATGAGCATAGACTAATGTGCTCATCTGAGGTTTGCACTGCCACCGAGCGTGATCGCTACGAGAAATCCGTAAGTGTATCATCTTTAATACTTTCTGTTTTTGATTGTTTCCTCATATAGAGTCAAAGAGTGTTTGTGGTCATGTGTCTATCTTGTTTAGCAGAAGCTTAAACCATCAAATGATCGAGTTATTAGCTATAAGTTAGTTCAGTACGTATAGAGATATCTGAGTAATGAAACAGAAAATGAGTTCAACCAATTGCATACTTTGTCACAGATCCATTGGTTACTATTAGTATCTTCTGAGTTCACTTCTGTTGCATAACCTAGCTGAGGTTAAGAAGTGGATCTATAGATTTATTAGAATGGAACTAGTTTCATTTTCTATTTATTCCTTGTTCTTTTGAGTTTTGAGAATATGTTTGGTCGTTGATTGTCGTTATTTGTGGCTTCTGGTTTACTTCCCTAAAATATCTTAGCTCAGAAAACTTATAAGTTTACTTGTGTGTTCAGATCTACAAGGCTCAGCGAAATGTGGTTCTGTGTGCGGCTGGGATCCTTCTCTACTGGTACATATCATCACTATGACACAACTCACACTTCACAGTTATGTGATTTGACTAATGTTCCCTCGTATGCACTGTCAGGTGTATTTTCCGGATCTGCAAGTACAATAAAGACCTTGAGCATTTGGAGGAGCTAGAGAAGAGAAGCAAGGCAGAGTAGTAGTAGTTTCCCCACGTCTTGTTCTTCTCTTATATATATAACCTCGTCTTGTGAGTAGTTCAATATTTGAATCATGCAATGATTTTTTTTTCTCGAAGAACATCATTGCACAGACCTTATTTGTAGTTATTCCTCTTGCAACTTTATTTTACTTTTTTTTTTGAGAAATAGAAGGCTCTATTATATTTCATGTCCGGAAACTTGGCATTTACGGGCTAGCTGTTACAAGAAACCTAGATCACTCCTTACCAATTATTTGTGGATTGACTTGGGAAAGCCCTGCCTGAGCCAACCGAGCTTGGTTTTCTAGGCTTTGATGGCGTGGTCCAGTTTTATAGACCAACCTGCCCAGATCTAACCTGCCAATTCTTTTTTTTTTTTTTTTTTTGGCAGGTAACAGCTAACCGGTCTTGCTTGAATCGATTAAGCCGGTTTGGAATACTACTTTTAGACCGAACTAAAGAGCCAGAGCAGGAGCACCTCTTTTTTTCTTTTTTGTAAAGGCAAGTAAAGACAGCTCATGAAACCCCAGGACAAGCAGGTAAAATCGAAACAAACTTTAAAGGATTTATGTCTAGGACCAAGAGAGAAGCGACGAGTTGCGTATTGGACTAGACCGAAACAACCGCACCGATCATTGAGCCTTAGACTCTTACGACCCGGCCCTTTTTAACATTTTTAATCTGAATAAACGATCGATTTAAACACTAGCCCCTTGACGATATAACTAAAGAACAGTAGTGGGAGTGGAGACTACAGTGAGAATAAATAAACTATTACGCTACGTGTTGACAGACAATAGGTAAAAAACGGCTTTGTCTGCTGTTAGAACTTGTCTGAAAGTAAAGTATGTGGTCCAATAGCAACTCCATCTCGTGACACAATCTTTATTTCTGCTTCAGTTAAAAACTCAATCCCAACCCAATCATATGATTGAGCACATAATGTTACCCCTAATGTTCTCTAAATGTGTAATAACTGAACTAATTATCTAAAATAATCAAAATCCTTTAAAAGGAAACCAAGTAGGCAACGAGTCATTTTTGAATTTCCCTTTATCACTATAAATCTCTTTTTTTTGTTATGCCTATTGCGAACTCAAAACCACAAACTTTATTAATCAATATTTACTAAAAACTTGTCTATATGTTTATTTTTAGAATTTGAATATTTTCCCACAAACAAAGCCAAAATCCCTGAGATTCAGACCAAAAAATGAGAGGTGGATGTCAGACTCTTTAGAGCCGAGGAGGAGAAAATACAAATAAAAGATGCGGCCACTGGTTGGAATATCCTTCAGCATCTTTAACCGTACCTTTTAATATTGTCTTTTCCTTTTAACTTTAATATATTTTTTCGGTTTTAAAAAGCATCTTCTTCTCCCTCCCTCCTTCCTCATCCATCATCATATCCTTCACCATTCTCCTTTCTCTTTTTCACTTCGCATCTCAACCATCCATTCTCATTCTCTCTATTTCTCCGCACAATAATATACAGAGAGATACATATATATTGTGTACATTCAATCAAATAATCATGAATTCTCGTAGATCTTTAATGTCCGTTACGGCAACAACTCTGTGTTTTCTATTGTATATCTGCACCACCACGAACGGTGAGCTTAAAAGATTTATCGAACCGGCGAAAAGTGACGGTTCCGTTAGTTTTATCACAATCGGAGATTGGGGTCGCCGTGGTGACTTCAATCAGTCTAACGTCGCTTATCAGGTTTGGGTCCCATTTCATTACCGTAACTGAAACTTCTTGTAACTTTAATAACATTTGTCTTTTTTTTTTAATTAAACATTTTTATTTTCTATTTTATTACAGATGGGAAGGGTAGGAGAAAAGATAGGTTTAGATTTCGTAGTGTCCACGGGAGATAACTTCTACGACAACGGATTGTTTAGTGAATACGATCCAAACTTCAAAGAGTCTTTCTCTGATATCTACACTGCTCCAAGTCTCCAGAAACAGTGGTACAGTGGTAAATATATTCACAAACCTTTTTTCTCATTTTTGATGAGTTTTAATTTGTATCACTCTCTCACTTACATTCAAACGATGCAGTTTTGGGTAACCATGACTATAGAGGTGATTCAGAAGCTCAGCTAAGCTCTGTTCTCAGGGAAATCGACAGCCGTTGGATCTGTCTCCGATCATTCATAGTAGACGCAGAGTTAGTTGAGATTTTCTTCGTTGACACAACTCCTTTCGTTAAAGAATACTACACAGAAGAAGATGGTCACACATACGACTGGCGTGCGGTTCCATCTCGCAACTCTTACGTCAAGTCTCTCCTCCGTGACTTCCAAGATTCCTTAAAGAGATCCAAAGCTACATGGAAGATTGTCGTTGGTCACCACGCGATGAGAAGCATTGGTCACCATGGTGACACTAAAGAGCTGGTGGAAGAGCTTCTTCCTATAATGAAAGAGAACGGTGTTGATCTTTATATGAACGGACACGACCATTGTCTTCAACATATAAGTGACGAAGACAGTCCTATTCAGTTTCTGACGAGTGGTGCTGGTTCCAAGGCTTGGAGAGGAGATGTTGACCCAACGACCAACAATCCCAAGTCTGTGAAACTTTATTACGATGGTCAAGGGTTCATGTCTGCTAGATTCACTCACACAGATGCAGAGATTGTCTTCTACGATGTGTTTGGTAAGGTTTTGCACAAATGGGTTACTTCTAAACAACTTCTTCTATCCTCTGTTTGATTAAAAGTCTAATAAATTCGGTTTCTTTGTAATTTTTGTAGCATTCCCTATCACTCTTTAGCAAATAGCTTATTACAATCAAAACATCATATTAAATGTAATGATTATCTTTCTTAATGTTAGTCATATCCATTACAAGAGTACACACCATTTTTCTTTTAGTTCAATACAAAGTGATACCTCGCATCTACATGGCTCTCAACGTCCCAAAGAAACGAACCAAAAGTCACAGCCTCCAAGACAAGCCTCTTCATCCCACCAAAGCTGATCTTTATCTGTTCATCCTTAGACGAATCAACCGTGCCTTCAGGAGTTATCACAATCTCAGGCTTACCAAACAATGCCTCTGTATGCTTCTCAATGATCCCAACTGCTTCTCTTGATCTTATAGTAGCGTATCTCTGCAGCGTCTCACTATCAAACGACATCACATACGTCCTTAACCGGGACGGTTTAATCTCACTACCAAACCCTTTAGCACTAACACCACCAGCAAATGAACCAACCTCAGGGTGAGACGACACAGACTGAAACGTCACGTTCTCTGGCTGCTCAACGCTTGTTTTACTATCATCATCCAACCCACCGGGAAGAATCTTCATAGACTTCTCGAGCTGAAACCTTTGGTCCACTCGTTTCAAGAAGTATCCGTACATGACCGAAGCAGCGTAGACTTGACCAACTCTGAGCTTGCTTATCTGTGCAACGGAAGTAAGGTCACCCATTCTAGGGCCGAGGATTAAGGCTAGATGGTTGTGAATCATCTCGTACATCTCGGAAGAGTGAAGCTTCTCGAGTTTGTCTACTTTGGTCGGCCAAGTATCAACACGACCAGATGGATCTGATGATGATGGGGTTATTGATGGTACTAGTGATACGTTTGCTTCCATGAACTTTTGAACTACTAATGCGTAGAGAATCTCTTCCAGTGTCCTTCGTCTCTCGTTTTCCTTTAACTCAGCGATTCTCCTACACAATAAAACAATTACAGATTCAAACTCTAACTCTCCTATGAATTATATTAAGCTTAAACATTAACTAGTAGACCAACCAAATTGTTAGAGGTTGATTGTTTACAGCTTTTAAACTAGTTTTTGGTTTTTGATATTCCAACAACTATTTTTTTGTCCAATCATGATTTTGCGCAAATAGATTTTTTTTTTGTGAGAAACTAGCCTTTATGTATCTCTATAGGAATCGAAATAGTTTTATTTTGTATGTGTTTGCAGTTTTTGTTTTAAATAATTTAGTGTGTTTTGATTACAGTGTTTTTTAAAATATACATTTTACTAATATTTATTATTTTATTAACTTTAAAAGTAAAAACCAAAAACTAAAACACCCATTCAGGTTTTTCTAAAAACTAAAATCTTCTGCAAAATCAAAAACTAAAATCCAAAACTAAAAAACAAAATCTAAAACCTAAGAAAACAATCACCTAAGTTGTCGGAAAAAGACTAATCAAAATGTCCTGATAGTATAATTTATCTACACATAGAGAAAACCTCAACATCACGTCTCTATCACTTACAATTTCAAGCAACGGTTTAGATCAAGATCAAGAAAGAAAGTTATAAACCTGTAGAGAACGATGTCAGTTCCAGGTGCAGAAGATCCATCTTTGTTCTGTCCCTGAGAGTCACGATCAGTTTGGAGCTGCTCAAGCTGCTGTTCAACAGCGGCAGGGACGAGATGAGGATGAGTCACCAGAATCTGAGACAGAAACTGACCAGCAGGCGACTGAAGCTGAAGCGGCGCTATAGGTTTAGCAGCTGATGAGGAGCCATCATCATCAGATGCCGCAGCTCTTACAACCAAACTTCTCCGAGTTGTTGAGCTTTGCAACGGTCTTGAGAATCTAGCAAACGCGTTTTGCTGCCAACAGATAACAAACAAACTAATTAATATCCTTCGTTTCCGTACGAAAGTTTCGATTTTTTTTTGGACACTAAAGACAACCGGAGCAGAAGGGAAAAATCTAATTTTGATTATTTAATTAGGTGAATCGAATCAAGAGGAAAATATTACAGACATACCCTGAAGCGAAGTTGACGTCCTGAACCAGGACGCGTGAACCCGGGGCCACTGGCTGTAAGGAACATAGATCCAGCACCGTTGTCGGAAGTTTTACGAGGTAAGACGGGAGATTGGATCAAACTCGCGGTAGCGACGTCCATGTTTTACCTTGGAAAGTTGAAAGACGGAACTTTTGGTCGGGAGAGAAGAGATAAGAATAAACTAAGAGCGACGATACCGAGAGAAGTTTCGAGGATGGCGAGCTATCTATATTTTAGTCGAAATTAGACTTTTTTGGTTTGGTTCTTTGACAATAATGAGACTCCAATCAGATTATTTATATTATAAAATGTAATAACTTAGGTAATTATTATTATTTAATTCTCTTAATTTTTTGTGACCGTGAAAATTATACGATGTCGTGGTCATTGTATGTCCTTGGATGTACAAAACATAATTCGGATTTTTTGTAGCGTTATCCATGTCAATCTTTATAAAAGTCTCGATATTTCGAAATTTTTGTAGTCATTCATAGCTAATAAGTTGATGAAGTCACATCAATTCTAGAGGAGTCTACGGATTTTAACTGTAACCTTTTAACCTCTTTACGGATCATTAAACATCACTTTTTGTTGGCAAACTAAACGAGAAGAGTCAAATACTGCAAAGGAAAGCGAAACGATGAGAACCACCAACTGGCTTCTATGTCCATTTTCCACTTACGTGTTGGTGTTGGATTACTCCTCATGTTTTGTCTGATTATTACCTCTTTATGCAAACTTAACGAGAAGAAAATAAGTCAAATTAACAAAGGAAAGATGAGAGCCACCAACTAGCTCATGTGTCTATTCCCACTTACACGTGTTGGATTACTCCTCACGTTTTGTCTGATTCGAGCGTATGGGCTATTGGGTCCACTAGTCCATTAGATATTCTCTCTGGGCCCATAAACTCTTCCAGTCTCACGATGGATTCCGTGACGTGTTCGCAACTTACACAGATATTCCTTCGGCGCTTTCATCATTCGTCTCTATCTATCTTTCTTTTTTAAGTTGTATTCACTCGGTTGATGAAAGAAAGAGGAATAGGATACAGAAATGAATTGCTAGTTGAGAATAATTTTCTTTTGACGACGCTAATTGAGAACAATTAAAACTAAGATTAATAGTTATTCATCTATTTCATTTTATTTCTCATTCTACGTTGTATTCATATTAAAAAAGATATTTAATTTTATATATTTTCAAAAAATAAAAATATAATTACTTATATAGATAACCATTTTCAATTAATACAAAAATAAAATATTGTAAAAAAATTAATAAATTTTGTCACACTTATTTTGAAATGAAATTTTTTCAGAATGATAACTCATTCGAAATGGAGGGACTATATGATATATCTTAGGGAACATGGGATTAGTACATTATTTGTCTCACTAATCAATTGATTAAACTTCAATTATTGCCACATGGCCAAGATAAGTTGAAACCGACCAATTATTACAACACACTCTTCTTTAGCATCTTCTTTCTTCAATTGATCTACACTTTCGTCGCTTGTTATCTTCTTCAACCTCTATTGAATTCCTCTGTAGTATCCTCTCAGAACTCATCAATGGCATCCCTTAGTTTCGCCTTGACTCGCTTCTCTGGACTCTCTGCTAAAACCACCTTATCATCATCATCATCCGACTTCGATCACTCCTCTCGCCGGAACTTCCTACCTCCAACTAAAGTTGGTCTCAAGATCTCTTCATCTTCTTCCGCAGCCACAGACTCCGAGCCTGATCTCAGCGTCACCGTAAATGGCCTAAAAATGCCGAATCCTTTCGTGATCGGGTCAGGTCCACCTGGTACCAACTACACCGTCATGAAAAGAGCTTTCGATGAAGGCTGGGGTGGCGTCATCGCCAAAACCGTAAGCTTACGATTGATTCTGTTTCTGCTTATGTGATCGTTGACTAGATGCAGTTTTTAAAAATTAATGTTTAAATAATAATCATTTCATGATCTTAGGCTTACAATTTGAACAGAGGATTATGATTGAATGTGTTTTAAGTCTGTGATTGGATGGTTTTTAGGTGTCACTAGATGCATCCAAGGTTATAAACGTAACGCCTAGATACGCCAGGCTAAAAACCGGATCCAACGGTTCAGCCAAAACAGATGTGATTGGGTGGCAGAACATAGAACTCATCAGTGACCGACCTCTTGAAACCATGCTAAAAGAGTTTAAGCAGCTGAAACAAGAGTACCCTGACCGGATCCTCATCGCTTCCATCATGGAGGAATACAGCAAAACCGGTTGGGAAGAGCTCATTGACCGTGTTGAGCAAACCGGTGTTGTGAGTTTGAGTTTTGCATCAACACATAGATTCTTAGTTAATGTTGATGAGACTGAGTCTAGATCTTTTTTTGTGTATAGGATGCTTTGGAGATCAACTTCTCGTGTCCTCATGGTATGCCAGAGCGTAGAATGGGAGCTGCTGTTGGACAAGACTGTGCGCTTCTTGAGGAGGTTTGCGGTTGGATTAATGCTAAAGCTACTGTTCCTGTTTGGGCTAAGATGACTCCTAATATCACTGACATAACTGAGGTGTGTGTTACTATACTTCTTTGCCCAGTAAATAGATTAGTCCATTTTTCTTGGCTAGATGGTATGTTAGCTAAAGTCCTTTATAACCATGTTTTGTTTAATTTCTTTTCTTATTAAATAGCCGGCTAGGGTATCTCTAAAATCAGGATGTGAAGGCATTTCAGCAATCAATACAATCATGAGCGTGATGGGAATTGATCTGAAGACACTGCATCCTGAGCCATGTGTTGAAGGGTTAGTGATAGCATTTTTTTTATGATGTAAAAAGTTTAGCAGCTCTTGTAATGGGATAACAGAGAATTGTTTATGTTGTTACTGTTTTGTAGTTACTCGACTCCAGGAGGGTACTCTTATAAGGCTGTTCGACCAATCGCGCTTGCCAAAGTTATGAACATTGCACAAATGATGAAGTCTGAGTTTGGTGAGAAAGATTGCTCGCTTTCGGGTATTGGAGGTGTTGAAACTGGCTATGACGCAGCTGAATTCATTTTACTAGGATCAAATACTGTTCAGGTGACTAAACTCAACACCACCCTCACTTTTTTCTTTTAGACTGTTCCTAGAGAAACTTAGTAAATGCTTTTGGTTGGAAGGTATGCACTGGCGTGATGGTGCATGGTTATGGTCATGTGAAAACCCTATGCGCAGAGCTTCAAGATTTCATGAGACAACATAACTTCTCGTCAATAGAAGAATTCAGAGGGTATGAGCAACTTCTTTTTCAAATTATTTTTTATCTTTATTCTTGATGTTGCTTACTTATTTGCTTGCTCGCTTGTCGTCATGTTTGTTGTTGTCGCAGGCATTCGCTTCAGTACTTTACAACACATACAGATTTAGTCAGGAGACAGAAAGAAGCTATTGAGCAGAGAAAAGCCGAGAGGAGAGGACTGAAATCTGATAAAGATTGGACTGGAGATGGGTTCGTGAAGGAAACTGAAAGTATGGTTTCTAACTAAGTTTGCAACTTCAGTCACAATCATATCGCAAAGGCTCTTCTTTACTTTCGTTTTACATCGCTTTCACTTGAAAAGAAAAATAAATAAGTTTATTGTATCTTACTTTCTACTCGTTGAGTAAATTTGTATGATGTATGTATTATGTATCCACTGCCACCACTTCTTTGTTCTTTCACATTGCTCAATGTTTAGCCGATAATAAATGGATTGTTACAAAAACAAAAGCTTCTGGTTGGCAAAACATCTAAAGTTTTAATCTTTCAAAAATTTAGTCAAATAGTGAAACTGAAGTAGAACGGTGACCTGTTGTTCAAAAAAAAAAAAAAAAGAAGAGTGACTTTTGATCTAGATGTGTTTTAATCTAAGTACTTGTTATCAACCAAGCATAGAGTAGAGCATTTGTAAATTGCTAATACTTATTTTCCCCTGTTTCATTTCTGATAAAGCTTTCATAGAAGAAGACCTTTACAAATAGTACTGGCATCAATTAACAATTACATAAGTTAATATTAATATTTGGCAAATTATTACTGCATGTTTGTTTTTCTGTTACTGAAATATTTGTGTTAAAACATATTATTTTTTAATTCTATAAAATTTTGTTCCTTTGAAAATGCAGTAGTAATAATTAACTACCATATTAATACCATATCTACTTTCGTTTGGTTCAGTTTATATACTAGCGATTTTCAATTTATTCGGTTTTATACTAAAAACCATAACTATATTTATCTTTTATGACAAATTTTAGTTTATATGATTAAAAATCAGATTTATTAAAACATAATTTATATTCTATACTCTAATTTAAAAATATAATATTTTCTGTTTTACTATTAAAATAAGAAATATTAATATCATAATATTATTAAATAACTATATGTTATCACAATAGTTACCAACAAAAAATAGGTTTTATTTAATTTTATGAAAATGAGAATTTTGTTTAACTTAGAACAAATAAAAATTAATAAAATCAGTGCTTTAAAATGAATATCCTATTACTAAATAGTCATGTATATATTATTAATTTTATCATAAACTTTTCATATAGTATACTAATATATTTAAATTAATCGATTTATTCGGTTTATTCAATTTGATCGTTTATACACCGAACCATATCCATATACCGAGGTTTTGTAAAACTAACATGTTAATTCGTATTATCAAATCCAAACTATTTTCTCTATTTTGGTTTGGTTTGATTTTATCAGATTTAATATCCTTATGCAGTGTATGAAAATGTTACAAGATTTGGCATTCAAACGATTTTGCATCTCTCATCATTTATGTTTTAATGGGTTTTGGTCTTTGGATAAATAAAAAAGTATAATGTTAATAGTGGGAAAATACCAAATAAATCCTCAGATTTCAAAATAAGATAAATAAAAGTCTCAACCAACTAGTGAGTCATTTAAAATTCTCTTTTAAATCCTGATTTTTACTTTGAACAAGACATTTAACACACTTTAAAATTCAATTGTTAAAAATGCATGATTCTTTGGTTCACTTTAGGTTCACCAACCAATAGAGTTGTGTTATTATATAATTATTTATTTTTAATAAATGAAATGAAATATTTTTAAATTATGTTATATTTTTTAAAAAATAAATAAAAAGAATAGTTACAAAAGTTAAATTTATTTTTTTAATATTTTTAATTCTGGCAGCAAAACACTAATCCCTAAACCCTTGAATAAACCATAAATCCTTAGGTAAACAATAAACCCTCGGATAAATCTT